TGTCATAACTATGACAAGAACGCGAATTGTTCAGCGAAATTGTATCCGTTTTAGGACTAAAGGCTAGAAGCCCGCCACTGATGAGGAACACGCGACCTCACATAATCATTCTGTAATTAAGGAGATGAAACTCATAGTTTATAAAGTCACACGCGCTGGTTTTATTAATTGGTAATGATATACAAGCTAGAGACAATGGCAAGTATAAATGTTGTCATGTTATTAACACCTGTATACAAAAACCATTGTGACAACCAAGAGACCGCCCCGGTGCTTGCCCCAAACCAAAACGAGTCTCTACTAAATATCTTGTGATCAGTATGACATCATCCATTTAAGAACAATTATTGCCTTTGAATACAAGTAAAATAGGACTATTTTTTCGATTTAGGCCTAATTGCTCTTTGGTGCTAATCAAATATATAATATAAATAATGAAAAAGGCCTAGATCTATCTATCTATCTGTCACGTAGACCTACATCTAGCACGTTGTAACTGAACATGTCGTGTTCCTGTTTGTAGATGTTTTTCCTTTTTACAGCTTTGCTATCAAACGGAAATCCAACTTTTTTGTGCTTCTCAGAAAGGTTATTGGGGTATATTCATCCGTTGGTTAAGATGTAGGCTACTGTTGCTGATAAGTCAAGATCTCTTTGATCTACTATTGGAACTTCAATTCCAAATATAGCTTACCGATCCTTCATTCTCCTGCATTCCTGTACCTTGTAATAGAACTATACTAAAAAACGCAATAGAAACAAAAACTAGAAAAAAAAAAACAAACAAACAAAAAAACACACGACTTCAACCGTACCATCAAATTGAAAAAATCCAAGATAAACACTTTTAATTGTACCATATAAAATATTTTAAAACAGTAAACCTATTAGAACTTCACGTCCAAATATAGCTTACTGATCCTTCATTTCTCTTGTAATACAGTTCCTTGTAATTAGCGAAGTACGGGATACAATACTGAAGTACAATGATAAAGATTACCAATAGTAACAATTAAACGTATGGGACAGTAATGAGTTTATTTCAACAATATTAAGTTAGAGTGGTCCATCCAGTCGGAGCTGATCATTGGTGCTATGATGTCATAATTAACATTGATTATAATGAACCAGTGTTATATTATGTAGGCCTATAATGACAATTACAGTTATGATAAAGCGTATCATGCTTAATGCCATTTACCTCGCAGATGCTTTTTAAATTCGTATCAGGACAGATACTTATTTAGGAAAAGAAATGATTTTAAGTTTAATATAATAAGAACTAAAAATTGCAATTTATCGTAACAGTCAGAGTAAAACTTTGGAATTCGCTTGACGACAAACTTAAAAAATGTAATTGCCTTTTCCAATTATGAAGTAATATAAAAAAAATCTCTTAATTTTATTACCGGTAACTCGCGAAATCAAAGATCTTATAAACACAAGATAGCGTCTGTCTCTTATACACATCTAGATGTGTATAAGAGACTATGTATATACTGTATATTTTAATATACGTATATACTGTATATTTTAATATACGTGTATATATATTCTCTTCATTTTCTAGCTTTGTGATTAAAAAATCAATATAATAATTATTTAAATGTTCTAAGAGAAACGATAAATAAGTTTTTAAATTCAGTTTTCTTCCTTTTCTTGCAAATTCAATTAAGACGATAGTGTATAATGTATTTTTCGAGTCTAAGATAACGTATTCTTGTACTTTATTCTGTTTTATTACTTGAATAAAATATTGTAATTTATTGTGCAAAGTTTATTTATCATGAGCATTGTTATTATGATTATGACGAAGATTATGATTATGATTATTATGGATATTCTCAAAATGGATGGCGTCTGTCGATTTCACATTGATTCTCATCATGATGGCTTTAATGATTTTAATTCCTGGCCGTCACAGATCTTGAATTGACCAGAAATCCCTCAAAATGAATCCAAATAAACCAATGAATTGTGTTTCTATACTAACTTATGCATTATTTAATAAGAGGCTTATGTATTCGGAGCTCCTGTCATGAAACTGAAATTGCTTCTGATACAATTTGTCATTCAAATCTGCGTTGGTGTTTGAACAACTGGAGATGGTCGAGCTCACGTACGAAATGGAAGATCGTGGTTATAACTTCCTTGCGTTTTTTTCTAGGTCCGTTTATGATAATTAGTTGGGCTGTATTTTGTCATCATCCCCGATGAATTAATACATAATGGCAGGCGTTTATTATCCATTACATAAGAATAAGAATAATAATTGTTTCATAATATACCAGCTGTGCATTTACTTCCATATAATTGTAATTAGAACAAGTTTGTTGTGGCATATATAATTTCTAATTGGCATCATTTCAGTATTATCATATTTTATCATTATTTTATTATTAATTGTATTGATAATAATAATTGTGAACATATTTAGCGCATAATGTAATAATAATAATTAATGTGCATAATGCGCTTTCCAGCCGGAAGTGAGATAAATTATTTAACGATTCACGTGATTAAAAAAAATGAATATCAACTATATAAATATTAGTTAACTTGATTTATTTTAAGTTATCAATCATTTGAGAAAAAACCAGTAATTTTAAGTTTCTATTTAATTAATTTATTAATTATTTTAAAATATTTCCTTTCTTATCCTTATTATCTTACTTACCGTACATTTTTCTCCTTTTTAAATGTCTTTTCTTTTCTTCCCCTTTCCTTTCTTTTCTGTCCTTTCTGTCTTTTCCTTTAATTCCCTGTCTTTTTATCTTTTATTTTTTTGTTCCTTTTTCCTTCTATTATCTTTTTATTTCTTTTCATTACTTTCCTTTCTAATACAATTTCCTTTCTTGTTCCTTATTTTTTTTATCATTAACACTATTATTAGTATTGTTATTTAATGTATTATGAATATTATTAGGACTATTAGGCCTACTTATATTATTAGTAGGCCTACTAGAAGTATATCATTCCCATGTTAATGGCCAATGATGATGATGATGACTAGCAGTTAATTAATAATTAATTAATAATAAAAATGATTGTACAATAAAAATAATAACAAAATAATAATGAATAAGTGAATAATGAAATGTTTTTAACGATTTGGTAAAGTGGATTGTAGCGCGATTCATGAAAAGGCCTATTCATATTACCTAAGCCCACCCTCAACGTTGCGAGATGCATTCAACTTAGGCCCATGGGGATCCGAGCCGCCTAAGGATTTTTGCTAATAATGTTTCTTTATATTTTAAATCCAATTAACTTGAAGAAAAAATGATAACAAATACTGCTGAGGATGACGTCACATATGAGGCACTGTACTTTCGTTGCTATAGTAACATTAATCTTAAAGAGTTATTAGTAATAGTTAACTGGCCAATTTCCACAATCAGGCGACAAAAATTGCTAAGATAAGGATTTGCCAATGTGAAATGATAGCTAATTATGTTATATTATTTTATTCCTCTGTCAGTTTATTCTCAGAAATATAAATCGAAAATAAGGTACAGTATTTAAATTATCAAGAATAGTTAACTACTAATATGTGCAGATTAATTTTTCTTTTGGAAGGTGGCGCAGGCGTGTATTGCGGGGACATAGCCTTGGTAACCATAAAAGGATTTCATATATCTTTTTTTTTTCAATTTTCTATAGCACAATTTCTTAATCTTCATAAATATAAAATAATAATGACTATCAGGGGCGGATTCAAGGGCCCGAGAAAAAAAAAGTAAATTACATTCAAATCTAAGATAAGTTTATGTTATATTCAAATTGAGAGTGCCATTTCCGTGCCGTAATACATTTTCTTACCTCAGCCCTATCCATGGGGCTCAGGTGGTGTAGCAGACCCTCCATCTGTGAGTCTCTCCCGGACCTTTCTATATATCAAATTTCTGGATCAGCCACTGATAATAATGATGATGATGATGATGATAATGATTATGACGATGATGATTAATAATTTTAATTGTAAATTAATAATTGAGCAGATTTTACTTAAATTGTTATAAATAATGATTGTAATAACGCATAATTAAAACAAATTTTATTTCAACAATTGTGATATTTATTTAGATCATGTTTTTTTTTCTTAAAATAAATATGAAATTGTTAAAGCTACAATGACAATTATTAGTTAGTCCGAAAACATGTGTGTCTCCCAAGCCCGGCCGATACAAAATCTAAATAATGTAGGGTTAATTTTTGTGCGTGGGCTTCCTTATTACCAATGAGAAGTCCGCGATACTTTTATGGTATATGAAAACATACTTTTAAGCTTTAATAATAAATTTGATATCTTAACCATTGATTTTAGCTTTATTTTAGTTAGTATATTACCAAGCAGTGATGGTTGACAATGAACTGTTATAAAAGTAGGTCTTTAAAAACTGACATTCTGATTCTAAGTCCTTCATATCTATACCAACCACTTACGGGGTACTGTAATGATAGATCTAACAAGTTTTAAAGAAAAGGTCAAAAGAGGGCCTCCTCCTCTAATAATTAACGTCGCTTGGAAACTGATTCATCGTTGAGGCTCGAGTTTGATAAGTGTATTTCTAATTCTAGGAATAAGTCAATCATAATTATGTACATTGTAAGATGAACAAGATTTAAATAATAATAATTATCTCATAAACGAGGGCTTCATTCTCTATTAATTAACGACAGCAACTCGTTGCTTGGTAACTGATTCATGGTTGAGGCTCGAGTAATGATATATTTTGATATGTATATTTTTTACTTCTAGGAATAGGTCCATCTTATGCACATCGTAGGATGTCCGAGATTTAATAACTAGCGCACTGGCTCCATTATATTAAGCAAATGTCTGCAAAATGTCGTCACACTTACAAGCAATGTCCGGAGCAATTTCGGCTACATCACCATATTAGTCAAATAAGGAAGTGAAATGGGTTGATTGGGGGAATGTACAGAAAATTAAATAAAGACAATCAAAATAATAGACATGTTTCTGACAAATAGAGTATGTTTTTTTCTGTTTGTACTTTAATTCATCTGCATCTGGAATATACGAGTATAAGTAATAATACTGTGGTTTTGATCGACCAATAGTCTGTGCCTCGCAATCTACGACAACTGTCAGAATTACCCTTGTTTTATTTTAAAAAGCAATATATACATATGAATAAATAACTACATACACACAAATAAAATTTAGAAATTACCTTTTTCTCGTAATTTCTGTCAATAATTATTTTGATCATCTAACGTGATTCTAAAGTTGAAAAACATTAGAAAATGTAGAATAAAAACTACTATCTCCATTTTATATAAAAACGCCTTCTCTATACATTACTATATAATACAAAGTTAAACTTCCGTTTCTCTATTATTGTATGAAAGTCAAACTAATACGCATATAAGTTTATTGAAAAGAATCGGAAGAAAAGAGAATATAAATGTAACTGTTAACATTTTGCTAACCAGTTTTCACCATTGTTGCTATGCCTCTTTCGGCTCTAGGCGTATGATGCATCATGACGTCACGTGATTGACTTATGTGCAGGTCACCTTTACTTATAAACAGCAATCGAATGTTTCACGATAAAGAAACCATCAGAAAATAAGTTATATAATTTTAGGCCTTTCCGAGGCCTTGACACACAGCCTCTGATCATTTTTCAACTATCGGCGAGACGCACGGTACAATATCTATGCATGCCCTTACTAGCACATAATTGGGCCCCCCCCACCCCCCACAATTCGAGACCAACTTTCGGCTCTGAAAATGTGGGGTGCAGTCTCTCCAATAAGAAAGTTGTTTATATAAGATTGTTAGTTGTTCTTTGACATAGTGGTCACGAATGATAGGGGTCTTGCAATTTAAGGAGTTTGGAATTGGAGGGCGAACCGAATACCTAATGTAATTTTATTTTATCTTATAAATAGTTAAAAGTTTTACGTTACTACTGTAATTATATTATGTGACGTTCACGTCACACTCAGTAAGTCATAGTTCAATTTCATAATTTTGTGTAAAAATATTCCTATATATATGAAACACTTCATTTACATAAAATTAGCTGTAATTATTATTATAATTATTAACATTATTGTTTTATTATTGATGGATACATACATTTCGTACATGGATATACTTAAGTTCTATACAGACTATCAAATTTCCTATGACAAAGAACTGTTGTATGCTTATAAGTCATAATGTGCCTATATATGGTCATGATGTGATGTCATCATGACCATATTTAGGCATGTCACATGTTTTTTTGTCAAATTAAAATCTGATAGTCTGGAAAAAGCTTTATGACAAGGGAGACAGCATTTCTTTAAAAACTATATTAAATTTACAACTTCGGAGGTCTTGTAGCACAATTGGACAACATGCTTTAGATAGTTGTAACTTCGCATAAAACTCTGTCTACACTATGATATGTTATGTAACAAAAAGTGTGATATGCCCATATTTGGGCATAATTTGATATCATCATGCCCATATATGGGCACAGCAATGGAATATACAGTCAACTAGCAACCCATACCAACTTTTGGACAAGTCGTGATAATATTATGATTACAGATTAATATTTAATGAATACATCCATCATAATATCTGGTATTTTTTAATGTGAACCATACGAGATTTCATTGGTGCAAGTTGTCCAAATAGGGTAGGCGTGGGTGCGAGGTGACTATAACTCGCACAAACAGCTACATTTCCCATCCAGGATCTACTTAATTAACAATAAAATATTATACACATAGGCCTATAATTACAACAAACAATAAATACTTTTATCATCGCGCATGCTCAATGCATTTTTAGAGTTGAATTATATTAGCCACGCCCAGCTATATTTCCGGCTGATCTCACCATACTATATCATAATCATATTTGCATAGATTTCGTCTACACTCATCTCATATCATATTTACATAGAGAAAATAATCTCCATGTTGCTGGCAAACGATTATAAACTATTATAACTGATTATAATTATAGTTTAATTATAAAATTGCAAAAATTACACCCACCTTCACTGATATAGGCTAATGTTTCTCGGCAGCGGTTTTGTTGTTTAAAATTTAATATAAAACCAATTTTCTAGCTTCTGCACTACACCTTGAATATCTATCAAGGTATTATTTTTACTTATGGTACTCATGACGTCATGAACGATAAAGTAAGACTATAGCATTGGCCTATCTTTGATCAATTCCTCTTGCCGCACATCGACCTACTGCACTAAAATTTACGTTTTTTCTATCGTGGAGCTACATTTGCGAATTTAACACAGACCTTAATAAGTCTCAATTACGGATTGATCAGCACATCCCTCTCAAATACACAGAGAAAAAAAAATCGGCATAAATTCTATAAACCTCTTTTTTGTCTGAACGTTTTATCGACGTGTCAATCAATTAACACATTCATAGCAACACACGTAAAGAGGTAATTAAATAATTTAAACCTGTTTCAGCACACACTTACTGAGGTAAATGGCGGACAATAATTTAAACACGACAGCCCCAATTAGTTCACCACATTAGTCGTGACCACAGCGCGCGCGTGCGTTGTTGACGTCATTATATGGAATACGCGTTGCACAGCCAATCACAGGACGGATAGCTCAGGATTTTAAATTTTCAGTCAGCACAGAATGTGATTTGAACTCCTGAAACTGACATTTTGACAGACATATATGTAAACGCAGGTCAGCCTAGCAAGACATCGTCACGCTCCTTACGCCATGTCACACTCTGTCAGCAGTCGATGGAATCTATCAGAGCTGAACATGACTGTCTACATACACCTATATTACCAACTACAAACTAAATGTGTAGTACAGTAATGGTATATATTCGGTATGACGGTGCTTCCCGCCAAAGTTTTGTGGTACTGGTAATCTAGTGGCACCCACAACTTGTTGCTACCATTGCGTCGAATTCTTTGAGAACTACATTGTTGTAATCGTCTAAATATAATACATGGATGCTTTCGAATTTATCTGGTACACAGCATGGGTTAGGAAGAGTTGATCCTTTGCGCGAGAATCCACGCGTGTGCAGGATCGCTTGTACTGTTGCGTGGTTCGTTGCGTTGAACTTGGGATCCAGCGGAAATGGACAGTTGCCTTCACAGAAATTGGCGTTGTACCCTGAAATTAAAACAAAAAGAATACATAAGTTAGTTTTGATGAAGACTTAATACATAAAGCACGTGATATATTTTATTATTGATTTCGGGAATGAAAACATTATAATTGACATATAATGTCTCATACTGGAATAATATAGTAAAATAATAATAGGCCCAAGGATCATAATAAAGTAGAAAATAATAATAATTAAAACAATGAGGGTAATAAAATGGGTCGACACAATGATAATAATAAATATGAGGTAATAATACTTTTAAGGTGTTTTTTGTGTCTGTAGAGTTATTGACAGTTAGTCCCTACTTGACCAACGAGCTGTCACCATGAGATAAACACACACACGTACGAAGTCAAAAACAAGTCATCAGAGTGAAATAAAATATTTTGAGCAGACGATAATTAAACCGTTAACTCAGCTAAGAGTAACTTAATAGCCAGGACAAATTTTAAAGAGAGAGAGATACACATCGATAAAATGAGCGTACAGTGAAAGTTTGCCGGTTTCAGAGGAGTGTTGACAAGCGTAGCATCATCTGTAGAACACACACGTCTATGGAGCGCCGTACCGCTCAGTATATAACCGAATAGTGAACGGTGCGGCGCTCCATAGACGTCAAACAGCGCGATTCATTAAATCCTCAAATCCATGAGTGGATCCATACCGGTAAGAAAAACAATCAGTTTTCCCGCAAATCAACTATAATTACATGATTACAACAAGTTACTTAATTCGCTCGAAAATCGTTTGACTGAAGAATTCAAATATGAATTTTGATTGGTATCAAATTTCAAATTGTGTAATTGTTTCCATCGAGTCGAATCTATCGTGTAATTCGACTTCTAATTGCGGAATTAATAAGCAATTGTAGTGTAGAGGTACTGTTGAATTTGTTCGGAATGCTGAGCTGCTCACTGAGAATCACCTCAGCATCATGAGAATGCAGACCATGATATACTGTACTTGTGGGGCGCTGTCACGCCGGCCGGAAATAACTGCATGCTACAACTGTAGGTTAAAAGTACTTCCTCGGGTATAAGAAATGCATCGATATACGAGTACAGGTGCAGTTGATAGATAATTTCTTACTGACAGAGGCATCTACGTACACTGTAAACAAAGGCTGATGAAGAATTTAACCAGCTACACCCCATAGCGTCTGGCTGAACTTCGTTTAAACGAAGTATTCTTTTTAAAGTAGGCCTACTATTATTAAACCACAACTGAACAAAAGTGAAATGTAATACATATTGAAAAGAGGAGTGGAAGTAACGTTAAAAGAACCCAAAACTCATGTATGAAAACTTCATAAACGAATAAAAGAAATTTTAGTATTTATTGTGGTTTAACATTTAGTGTGCAACGTGAATAATGTGCAAGTAGGCCTATACACCCAAACAATCTACGTACGCGTGCGTGCACATGATTCCCACGGTACGGACACATGGTGTTGACTCTTCGGATTAGCATAGGCCGATGTCTTTCTTATAATTATATAGGCTATAGTCTTACCTTCACATTTATAAATAAATCCAGTACACAAATAACAAGGAAAACAAGGATCCAAAAAATAAATAAACAAACAAATCTATCAATCATTATAATAAATAGGCATTAACCTAATATTTCCCTACGATGCTAAATTACTTTTATGCCTAGATATAATATTGTCTACAATTTAAACGAAAATCCCCCTTTTTATTACTGATTCAATGTGTTTCAAGTCTGAAGACCTGTAACGACTCATTTTATTTGACAAAAGCTTGCGACATGCCCAAATATGGTCATGATGACATCACATCATGACCATATACAGGCACATCATGACTATATATGGGCATACAACGATTTTTTTTATAGTCTGCACTGAGCATTATAGTGTGATGAGGAATGATCTACTTTCATGTCAAGCTACTTTTGTCATGTCAAGCAAGCATCATAGTGACTTCCCTCCAACTTCATTTAAGAACGCTAATGCATGTACAGTCTACTTGCGAATCAGCGGTGGTCTGGCCTGAACGTGCTTAACAACTAACTTATAACATCGACGTGAATGGCCAAGCTTCCACATGTAGGCACCTGTCAATTTGTTTAACTTTGTTCGATCTTTAAGGCTTGTCCAGGGCTTAAGACGTACTGGCCTCTAAGGACGTTTGCTGGCTCTGAGCAAAGTACAGTACTACTTAGATAGGCAGGCCTGATAACGCTAAAGGCAGAATACAATAATTGCAAGGAACTTCTAAGTGGATGACACCCCGTAGCAAAGTTGTTCCCGTTGGAAAGGTTGAATAACTCTCCTTAGTGCTTAGAAGGTGTCCCAACTTTCTCCGAGTAACTATTTGTTTTTTCCTGGTGATTTTAAAGCATTTGTATTTCACACCTAAGGCTATATTTTAAGTAGAGAAAATCGGAGCGTAGTTTGGACCCAAAACTACTGTAACACCGATCTTCTTTACTCAAGGTATTTTTTTTACGACGTATCATAATTTTTCCCCAATACCAACCAGAAGGAAAATTATTCAGAATTCTTTGCTGATCTTATAAGCTGGTAAGATCATGACGTGATTTACTAAATCGGGTGACAATTCGAATCATTTGGGACCCATCTAGTATTAAAATTAACTTAGTAATGAGTCACATTGGATCAAATTTATAGCCTAATTTCCCTAACTTCCCAATACATGCCATTTGACTTGAATTTGTCTGCGATCAGATTAACAGATTGGAATAATACTACCCTTCATATCCATATAAATCATACCTCCCATTGGACTTGCTAAATGAACTACCTCACTGTTGTCACTAACTAAAGACCAATTACATGCTTCTTTATTACCCTCTCCGATTAAACTTTCAAAATATTATATAAAAATCTATATTATATGTAATGAATTCATTGACAGTCGACATTCAGTTTTAATCCATAAATCTAAAAGAAATTAATCCGGCGATACCTGTAAACAGGTGCCTTGTTTTCCAGGCGTTGTTCTTTGTGGGTCATCACTTTGTCCATTTATCATTTCCCTGAATTCCTTTTATATGACAAACGGATAAAACAATCGCTGGTCTCTTAGCAACTAAATGAATTTCAAGTACAGGACACCATTTGTTGATGTCCTTCATTCTTGAATGTGTCCAAATGCTCAGAAACAGTTGTTCCAGTAGCCTTTTGAATTATCAACGAACAGCGTAAATAGGCAGGCCTACATTTAGGCCTACATTTGTCTCAATCCACTGCTATTTGACTTGATTGGCTCCCCCGATCAATGATGATGACTGATCTACATTTAATACAGTTGCTACGCTTCCGATTCATACTGCAATATTTACAATTAACTGCCAATAAAAACCATACACAAACTATCTACATCAACAACAAAATTTAAATCATGAGTAAGGAGAGATATTTAACGTCATACCCATAATGTCACTCATGTCACTCTCCAATGTGATACTTGGCAAGGAATTATGGATATGAAAAAGTGTCTAAATCCAAAAACACTTTATTTGTAGACTTCAGTAATTGGTTCAGAAAGTAGGAAATTTGTATTAATCTGATTTGGAGGTAATTCGTTTAAAAAATGATTGAGTTGTAAAACGGGAACAAAGTCTACTGGAGATGAGCGTTATCCGATGGTGCCAAAATGCAAAGTTATCTAGTTCCCATATCGGTTAAAATTCACATTACCTAAGCTCTATATAGAAATACGTGGCGCCCTTTAACACAAATATATGCAAGCCTATCTTGCTGACGACTACTACTGCTGCTGCTAATTTTCCATGATTTGTATTGCCATTTGTCGACTCTTTTAAAAAACTAAAAAAATGGTTTATTTAATTTTTTATTGTTACTTGTTATGTGGTCCCTAATGATCAGCCCAGCAATAAATAAATACTGAAACTATATTACTGTAACCAATTTTTTAATAAGCCTATCATGGAAATCGGATCTATAAATGTTGCAACAAAATCGACCGTGAGAAGCAAAACGAATTTTCAATTGTTGCCACAACATTGTGATCGCAATCGCAGTAATAATGGTAATCAACATCGTAAAAAAATGATTCTAATCATACAGAGGCCCTGGTTCTTGATAGCGTGTTATGAGTCTCGGGTATTCGGCAGCAGTTATCAACTTGCCAGCTTTAATGACAAATAGATAGCACACAGTAAATAAATACACGTACCCATAAATTTACCCCACAGAAATCTGCCCTGATTTACCGTTTTTAGTCAGACTTGAAAGTGTCTGAATTTAAACGTTATTTTCGACATTGTCTCCAATGACAACGACTCGGGACCCATTGACATCACTGTCACTGCGCGGTCAAATCGCCTGACACCTGAATAAGGTGAAGACAGAAAAAATGTCGACGATGAAAGATTGAAGACTGCTTGTTTAAACAAGCCGATGTGCTGTAAACATAGTATAGGTTTGATATGTTCTTCTTTCGCCTATTCAGAACAAATAGAATGGAGTATGATAGTTGGGGCTGTAGACTAACAAATAGATTAATAAGTTCTACTAGTACTCAATAGCATGCCTGAAAATATTAAACGTCATGAGGTAAAACGAATGAAACTACAGGTAAATACATAGAGTATCAATAAGCGAGGGCGTAAACCAGAATGAATTTGTAGATTCGATGGAACACGAGGCCAAAAAATGGTAACTGGTAAATACTAAACAAATCAAATAAATCTATCTATCACTTTTTGAAGAATTTAATAAATAAATAAAACAAAGCTAAAAATACAAGATCTTCTTATTATTTTTGGCAGAATGACTAGCATTATTTAAACAATTAAAGTAAATTGGTCAATAACGTAATGAAATCACAATGATTACCTATCAATGGAATCAGCTCAACCAATGGAAATGAAAATAAACGGGATAGTCCCTACAATTTGTTTTTAAATATAAGAACCAATAAAATTTTGCCCAGGCTCAGTGTTCTTATTTTTTTTTTTCGCTGATTTCAGGCTTAAAATGTTCTTATCTTGTTCTTAATTTTACACACTCTCCAAACATAGAAGATTATTATTATATCAGTATATTACTGTATTGTATTATAGAGGGTATTACATAGTCACAGTTATTGCACATTAAGGCACAGCTAAGATTTGTTGGTTTTTCTATTAAAAATGAAAAACCTCATTTGACATTTTACCTCAGCCTCAATTTGTTGTTATTTTGTTCCTAATATTTGAGCAAATTCAGCCTTAGTGTTCTTATAAAATGTGTTCTTAGAAAAAAAAAAAGAAGTGTATCTATAATTTTTGAATGGTCTGATCAAATACAGTATCGTTTGTTCGAGTCTAGTTGCAGGGGCAGAACTTTGACAATCTATGGCCAAAATACAAATAAAATCTGAATAAGTTTGTTTTAAAGTCACATATATATTAACATATGTAACACTGTACTGTAACTACCTGTGTATTTACAAAAGTGGTCTGGCTACAAAACTCTGCTCTAAGCGCGTCAGTGATTAAACTTCCTCGATCATCTTCCCTTGTGGTAAAGGTGTAAACACGTTTGACCTAAGAGTGACCATGTATCCAAACATGTACAATACTTTTGTTTCAATCTCGCTGCACTTTAAATCTTTAGTTAAAATAATAACATTGTGATGTAGGCCGGAGGATGAAGGTCATTTACAGGTAGGGTATGCACAAGTTCCAGGGAGAGATGCGGTTCGAAGTACTTTATAACACATGATCTAAGCGAGACACTGTTTTCCAAAGTAATAGGGGTTTTTTTTCGGACGTGTTACAAATTTCACGAAGTGACACCTAGGTGTAAACCATAATTACTTTCGATTTCTTTTGACCTGTTTATAATAACCATAGGCATATTATCATCGGCCGCTATTGTCTTTACCAATGACTAACTCTTCAATCCCAAGGCACTAAACAACAGGTTCTATTACTGTTACCTGTAGGCACCTTTTGGGACTTAAAAGAGTCCGCTATATTTTGTGCCAGAAAGTGTCAATTAAGCCTCCTTTGAAAGCAATATTACGGACTTAAAACCGACAAACATTCAGTACTTAAGCAGTACTTAGGGATGTTTATGTAACTTGAATTGATCGAATGCGTTTCATAGATTAAATTATTTGACAGATATTCCGACTACAATTCCAAGGATGCTAGTTTATCCGGAAGTTATAAAAAGGTGGAGTCAAGATCGAATAATGAGTATGAGGAAAGAACCATCTAATTTATTGCAAGAATGTGATCATAACACATTCGCTTAAGTTTGTTCACAAAATCGGATTGCAACATACATACGCAAATTTAATCAATTGTGAAAACCCTATTGACTGTTAAGTATTTATCTCATTAACGTCCCTGATTGATATCAGCAAACCTAACAGTTTGTTTAAATGAATACTGTACCTCCTCTTGACCAATTAAATTCATTATAATATTTCTAGCGACTAAGTAACGACTAATGTGGCAATTACAGTCAATTTCAGAATGAAAAGCGCCCGCTTTGACAAACACATTTGGTGTGCGCCAGTGAAAATCCGAATCGGTTTAGACGACTGCTTCAAGGAGAAATACTAGTTTATAGTAAAATCAATGAGCACCTAAGCCTACAAGTTACAAGTATACAATCATGTACGATAATCGATTCTTCGACATCTCCCCTGCCACAGAAAAGTCTCTAATTATGTAATTAGTACTGTAAGCCTACTGAGATCAAAACATTCTGTGGATGACAGCGATTTCTGTCAGCAATTGCTGCTTCAGTATTGTTCTAGATTATTATATTACTTAATCTATTTGTATTAATTAATTTTGGGTTTTTACTGTGTCACCAAAAGTAAACAAATACGTAGGAAATTATTCTTAATATTCCAATTTGAGTATTCAGAAGGTAAATATATGAATCATTGGATCGAACCGAGCCAGGCCTATTCCGTGCAGATGAAACCTCCGTTTCTCGTCACCTTCCAGGGGTCCTCTGGGAGTAAGTAATGACATCATCTCGGCCAAGCTGCTGAATTCTCTAAACCATTCCAATTGATATTGACAATATCCACATAGTGTTCAGAGAGCCTATGTCTTTCAATGGGAAATTTTGCTTTCTCGACAAAGCGTGTCCTCGCTCTACCTAATAACCTTTAATAACACTTTCCGATTGATAACAACTTAAGTACGAAGTTTTTATTTGGTGGGTTTTGGCCTATTTACCGTACTTTAAATTGTGATCGAGTAAAGATAGGTTTGCATTTCAGACAACACTATGGTTTAGGCCTATCACTATTGTCACTATGTAGGAAAGAATAGCATGTCATATAGTAAACAGGCAAATTTGTGGAGTTGAGCAATGACGAGATTTGGAAAATTCAGTATAAATCTCAGTGGCTTATCAATTGAGATATTGTGAGATACTGTAAAAGTTAAGAATTTATTTATGTTAAGTTCATTAAACGGATCAAATACTAGGGGCGAAAAAAAAATACTTTACGTTAAATATAATCACATCAAAATCGAGTACAAATGTATCTTATGAAATATGAAATTGAGACCCAAATTATAAAATCTTCCGCATATTGGGCTTGAATTAGAGTGCAGTTGGCCCACCGGGTTTGTTTTTGTGAGGTCGTTGATTCTATAGTTTGTCTAGCATCAAGGTTAACGTATGACACAGCTGGTCTTCTTTGCTCTTTTTCATCGGTTAGGCCTAAAAAGAGAAGCTAATTATCGCTGTCTGCGGGACCAGCAGGCGTAGGCCAGACGTTTCCAAGTCTCCCTGCTCACCAGTCGTTGGCCTAGTGGGATTTGCTCATAATTTGAGCAAACCGTCAGTCCCAATTTCCGTCTAATGACTGATATTGGGGCGTTCATTTACCCCCTACGGGCCTCGTACACAAACGATACAGTGTTTACTGTTTTGTGAATGGTATGTAATGTTAAAAATTAATTGAAAAATATTCCTCACCATTTGGGGCGATTATCCAATCACTCCACCCAACCTTCTGAAAATCTACATAAAAGTCTAAAAGTTGACATTTTGATTTCTTCTGATTATTGGCTCGTTTTGATTTTGTAGATGCTCTCTTCTTTCTCCGCATCAGTACGAGGTTCTCCTCCTCGTCATCTAAGTGTTCATTTTCTACATTTCTACTAGCCTCCGGTGGTTTGATATCTCTGATTTTTATAGATTTATCATTTAAAAACAGCGCCAGTAATGGAGTTCGTTCACTATGGTTTTCATTCGGAACTTTTGTAAAAGATATCAGTTTCTTCAAAGTTTTGTTTACAGTTTTAACGCGAATTTCAAAAATAGGATTTAATTCTTCCAAATTTTCTTCATTTTGGAACATTGAATGTAATTGGCTGAAAGCTGATGTGACGTCAAAATCCAACCAACCAATGTAACTGATGTTCACAGTTCGTTCCGTTATGAATAATTTCCTTTTGTCTGATGATGATGCTCTATCATTTTGAACAAGGTATACTCTAATTGAAACGTTGCCGTTTGTATCACCGAAATCAGTAGTTGTGTCCAGCATTTTGTTTTGCCTAGGTCTTTGTTTGAAGAGATGCAACTCTGCAAAAAGCACCGACTCCCTTCGTAGAATACCATTTACGTTGAACGAGAATTCGTTTCTTCCAGACGAAGATTTCCCTGTCAAAAGCAAAAAACCGAAAGGTTAAATCAACACGAGGAACATATCAATCAAAGTCATCAATCAAAAAATGGATAAGCCATCTAAATTTGACGGCAGGATCTTTATAGGTTGAAAGTAAATGAAAGGTTAATGCATCATAATATTTAGCAGGTTTTAAACCATCTTGCTCGGGGAGACCAATCCTCCGGCGCAATCACACTGCTTAAGTTTTTGATGCGCTAATCTGTTCAATTTACTCCTATAATCACATAGTAGGCCTATTTTCTTTAATAGATAGGAACATTTAGTTAATATATTGCCATTATCATAACATGGCTTAAAAGAACAAAAGTTAATAAATATTTGTAAAATCAAATGATTCATAAATTAGGCTTTTAACTTTATTTAGAGCCTATTACCTATGTATATTATATATACAATACGCGAGTAAATAAGCATAAACATTACTCTAAAACAAAAGTTTTCATGGATACATAACGAAATAATTCTTTTGTACTTGATTAGAAACTTCCTTGGAGCTTCAGACATGCATTCTCTTCTCTCAACAATGCGTAAGTATGCATTGGCCTACATAGGATTAATGTAGCTCTATACTGTATACCTATTAGGCCTATCTATAGGCTTATTACGTAGATTATGTGCGTATAAGCAAATATTTGTAATGGCCGCTTTCTTATAAACATAGACTATCAATAACCATAAGTAGTGTAGCCATTATAATTTTATGAAAATCACGGTAGGCAAAGACCTATACTCCGTCTTATAATATGATCAGTCAAAGAAAAAAAAAATCATGTATTTTCTGCGAAGAAATAAATAAAATGATTATTTCGACTGTGATGTAATGGTTATTACGTGATGTGCGTAGTCGACGAGGGAAGCCAGATTTGTATAGTAAAACGAACGTGACCGCCTGCTTCGTCACAGGATCAAGATAGATCTAGAAATAGGAAGCGAATTTCCTTGTCGGCTATCCTATCTCATCAAATCTCATCAAATGCTGTGACTTATGCGACTTTGTTTATTCAAAATTTGTTCACATTATATATCATTATTAAGATTATAATTTGAATCAAAACGTCTACAATAATTATTACTATTTATTCATATTATTGGTTTGCTGAATTTTAATGTCGTTCGTGTTATTACCGAAATAAATATATTCCTACTAAAATAATATTAATATAAATATAATATTAATATTAAGCTAGCTATGTTAGGTCTCAACAATCGTAAGTATTGGGAATAGATAAATATATATTTATTTATTTTATTTATTTATTATTATATAAATTTCTTCTAATAGTTTTGATCCAAAGTTACATGTAACTTTGGATCAGGCCTATTACAAGAAATTTTAATCAACGGTATCAACAGCGCCCTCATCATTTTCATTAAATCGTAACTTTTTGTTTCTGTGGAGGATTGATTACTGGTTGAGAACGTTAATAAAAGACTCATACATAAATGAAAAAACTATACGCCTACTATTAAACATATGTGCAATATTACAATGATGCAGGATAAGATACATTATGCTAGTACATGTCCAACAGGACGTTTAAGCGTCACACCTGGGACCTTCATCTTGTTCCAGGCGATATTATGCTCTTGTCAAACTGACATTATCGCGCACGTCCTTAACCTTGTGGACTTACTTTATTGCCTACAAATTATTTTAGGAAGTACTATTCGAGCCAGGCAGCTGAGAATCAGTCACGACGAATATAGAGCGAGCTTCCCCGCCCGACGGCATATCGGATTCGTGGTGTCAGTTGATGTCACGGTCGCTTGTTTTTTCTGACATCTTTTCACAATATTTTGTGGCGGGAAAGCAGTTATTCTCTAAATTGACATTATTTAACAATTTGACACATTATGACGTAGCGGCATTTATCTCCGTCTTGTATTCTAATTGAGTGTTATGATTATAATTACACGTATAACACTATATAAACATATCCAGGCTTGTAAAGTAAACAACGCACTCGCCACCGGGTTAACAATGCCGTCTCAGGCATGGCGAATCACCCATGCTGCGTTCCAGCTAGATTACAGTTTGCGGGGAAATTTTATCTAAACATTCCAACTAAGATATTTTTTATGATGATGCTATTCAGTAAATGTTATCGTTTGTGCGATCTCTCTTCATCGTATCAATCATTACTATATAAAACGGTGTCATCTCTATTTTATAACAAATGTTCCCTATTGAACCAACATTCGTATAATGCTCAAACTAGTTTTTTACAGACAATGCTATAGATAGAGTAAGGAAGATTTCTCTCGCAGGCCTAAGACAAGTATGGTGTGTGGCAAGGGTCAACTGTCACCACCAGAACATATTGACTATTTGGAAAAAGTACACGTTTAAATGGACTGGACTACGGCCTAATGGGCGTTCCTGATACTCATTAATGTTTACTTTTATTGTTCTCAAATCATTTTTATATTGCTTGTGCATGTTGCGCATCGAATAAATTCAATCAATCAAGCAATCAGTACACTTTTTTTACATAAGAACCATTAAAAAGTGTTCTTAATTTTTCGCCGATTTTAAGTCTCAAAATGTTCTTATTTTGTCCTTATATTATATACGGTACTTTTTAAATATAGAAAATTATTATTGTACAGCAGTATAGTGTGCTGTATTATATAGAGGGTACTATTATAGTCACCCCTACTACAAGGTACAGATAATTTTTTTTTTGGTTTTTCTAAAAAAAAATCTCATTTGACATTTCACCTCAGCGTCAAATTGTTCTTAAATTTGTTCATATTTTTACGCAATTTCAACTTCAAAATGTGTTCTTATAAAAAAAAGTGTAAAAGCAATTGTACCAGAAACGGTCCATCGGTAATGATGTTTTCCACAGATGTTTGAACTCAAGATTCAATGGTGACATACCTAGTTCGATACAGTGTAGATTATATACAAGAGTGTGTACTTTCCTAGGTAGTTGATGTTTAACAACTGGTTTATTTTGGAAATGCCGGCATTCCATAGGACTATGCTGTAGTTTTATTACTGACCCAACATAATGTGATGGAGCGTTGCGTGTCATATGCGAGAGTGTGTTTTAACCCAAGCACAAGAAGAGACAGAGTTTTAATACTAAAAAGACAAAGTATGATGGTTAGAATGCCTATAACTTTCAATGGAAGAAAAGTAAAGTCAAAGAGGTAATTTCTGTTTGCCCGTAACAAACCATCACGACAGGGGATTTAGTTTGCCATAGGCTGTTTCTAAATCTGCTTATAGTTTTTAAAAACAATCAATGAGTTTAGTATTTGTTGGTTATAGACATAGATATAGATTTAATATACCCTGCTACTACGCTTCAAATGTGTTATAATTGGCCAAAAGAAACTTGGAATGCTAATAAGCACTTTGGCAGCTCCCAAATTAAAGGTTTTTTTTGTTTTTTTTTTGTAGACCTTATATAAGAGGGCAAAAGAGTGCTATGTGTTGGCTGTCATTGATAATTTAAATGGGGCTAACTGCCGAATGGTAAAACTCTACATTAAAAATTGTTTTCCGTTAAAAGAGGATTTTGAGCCTAAGTTCACAAAGAAACCCATGATTCACTCATTGGCGTGTACGTCGCTTACCGTGTAACAATTAACTGGACCAGTTAACAAAACTCAAATAAACAGAGGCACAAGGTTTGTGGGCGACTCCCATAATCTCCATAATCACCACTAATTCTTTGAATAAATGCAGCATTATGGGTTAAACTTACTCCATTTACAGACAGATAGGGAAACTGAGTCAGAACCACTAACATGTCTGCTACGTGATTCAAACTTTAAGATCACGTGTCGCAATGTATTCATAAAGAAATCATTTTGACAAAATCAGAGGTTTACTATGGGACAATCACTAGAGGAGTTTGGTATAGACCACAGAGATTACCGTAGTGGTTGTCATTATAGAGATTCTGGAAATGCTTTTTTAGTTAAACCTTTCCGGTAATATTAAATACCCAGATGTGTATAAGAGACAGCATATACATACACACATATATATATGTATACGGTATATATATATATATATATATATATATATATATATTATATATACATATACAACAGAATATTGAGTATGTGCCCATTGCGTTGATTTAAGGTGAAAGTTTCAATAAGTTACTATAAAACCTAAGATTGAAGGCTATGTTTTATCTCTACAGGTCCGATTGACGAGGAATTAATGTGTCAGCGACATTCATTATGAATGAATTTACCTGTCAGATGAACAAAGTGACAAGGTCTGTTGTGTTATATTAGCGAGGTACTATAATCATCCAGCTATATCAGCTTTGTGTAGAAAAAAAAATCAATTCTATTTGATTCAGTCGACACTAAAATGATCGAACATCGCAGCTGACTGTGTTCTACAACAACTAACCAACGACCTCCAATAGTGGAGACATTATGGAGGCATTCACGACCCGTTTAAGTTGTTACTTAATGAATGGTTCCGATCAATTAAAGGCCCTTAGTTTAATGCAAAGTACTCCATTAGTTATCTGATTCTACAATTGTTATTTGTATTGAAATGCTCCTGCCTAGTCCCATTAGTTGGCTACTCTTCAAAGTCGAATCCAATTACGGTATTCATACAAATTCCAATTTTGGAAACTTAATCCGATTATTTATTGAAATATTAAATTTTATAGTGGTTATATCTTAATTTGCAACAACCTATCACCGATGAAAAAGTATACAAAACAACAGAAATTGTAATTCTTACTGGGGAAAATTTAAAATTAGTCATATTTTCATTCTTTGCTGATTAAAGATGAAATTATATAAATAATATGAGGGATAGTCCATTTGGTAGACTTCAAGACCTATAGTATCCAGGCATAAGAATACTAAAGGCCTATTATAAATATATAGATTAATATTTTATATAATTTATTTATTCATTCATTCATTTAGCCTAAGATATGAACTCCATAGTCCCTATCATAAGTACAAAGAACATCTATAA